AGGTTCGAGACCAGTCTGGCCACATGGTGAACCCCGTCTTTACTAAAAATACAAAAAAAAAAAAAATTATCCGGGCGTAGTGGCGGCACCTGTAGTCCCAGCTATTCAGCCTGACCTTGTGATCCGCCCACCTCAGCCTCCCAAAGTACTGGGATTACAGACATGAGCCACCATGCCCGGCTGACATTAACTTTTTAAAAAGGAATTCTCATAACATTTGAGCACTGCTCATGTTGGAATGAGTATATCTTCCTAAGGTGGCTACTGAGAAATTGAGACATTATTGTTCAAAATACTACTCACATTACTTTATGGCTATATATGAAACTTTACTTTTTTTGTAAACCTATTGAAAAAAGTGTGCTACATTTATACACACATAATTTCATCCTATATTCTTTTGTTCAGCAGCTATTAATTAAGCACACACTTTATGCCTAGCACTTTTTAGTCATCCCCCAAACAGACCAAGAGACTTGCTCCCCCAGAGCGTACATGCCAGCGTTCCTAGTACCGGAGTGAAAGCACCAAAGAAGTTCTTTTGGCTTCTCCAGACCGTGGAGCGTGGGTATGCACTAGTATATGTGGAGGTGTAGACTCTGTTATCCTCTTTCCAGCCTATGGGCATCTTCTCCATCCTGGAAGAGGAGTGCATGTTCCCCAAGGCAACAGACACCTCCTTCAAGAACAAGCTGTATGACCAGCATCTTGGAAAATCCAACAACTTCCAGAAGCCCAAGCCTGCCAAAGGCAAGGCTGAGGCTCACTTCTCGCTGGTGCACTACGCCGGCACCGTGGACTACAACATTGCCGGCTGGCTCGACAAGAACAAGGACCCCCTGAATGAGACCGTGGTGGGGCTGTACCAGAAGTCTTCACTGAAGCTTCTCTCCTTCCTTTTTTCCAACTATGCTGGTGCAGACACAGGTAAAATTCTATCATTTCTTTCCCTCTGTGGGACGTTCTATGTAATTACTTGTAACCCAGAGCTGCTCGTGAAGAATCTTGGAGGGATGTTACTATGAAAACAGGAGTGGACATTAACTTTTTTTTTTTTTTTTTTTTTTGAGATGGAGTCTCGCTCTGTCACCTAGGCTGGAGTGCCGTGGTGCAGTCTTGGCTCACTGCAACCTCTGCCTCCCAGGTTCAAGCTTCAGCTGAACTTCAGACCTGAGCTTCAGCTGAGTATGATGTTTCTGTCTTTCAGCTCCATTTTTCTTCCTCCTGCTCTTATTCTTCCTCTTCTGTCAGAGATAGAGCTCTATGGAGGTAAACAGGACTTCTCAGTGGCCACGATAGTCAACATCACATTGTTTAATAGTTTTCTATTGAGGTATAATTCACGTATAATAAAATTCCCCCTTAAAACCATGTAGTGGTTTTGGCCGGGCACGGTGGCTCACGCCAGTAATCCCAGCTCTTTGGGAGGCCAAGGTGGGGGCCGATCACTTGAGGTCAGGAGTTTGAAACCAGCCTGGCCAACAAGGTGCAACTGCAACCTCTGTCTTCCAGGTTCTAGAGATTCTCCTGCCTCAGCCTCCCAAGTAGCAGGGACTACAGGCATGCACCACCACACCTGGCTAATTTTTTGTATTTTAGTAGAGACAGGCTTTCACCATGTTGGCCAGAATGGTGTTGATCTCCTGACCTCATGATCCACCCGCCTTGGCCTCCCAAAGTGCTGGGATTAGAGGCGTGAGCCACCGCGTTCGTCCCCATGAGCAGATTTCTATTCCTAGCCTCTGGCAACCACTCATCAACTTTCTATCTCTGTAGACTTGCCTATCTGGGCATTTCATGTAAATTGAATTATATACTGGATGCTCTTTTGTGTCTGGCTTCTTTCGCTCAGGCTACTGTTCTCAAGGTCTGTTCCTGTTGTAGATGTATCAGGACTTTGTTCTTTCCGATGGACAAATAATAGTTCATTGTATGAATAGATCACATTGTGTCTGCACATTCATCAGCTGATGAACTTTTTGGCTACTGAGCATGATGTTGCTATGAACATCTGTATAAAAGTTTATATGTGAACATATATTGGCAATTCTTTTGGGTATATACAGTACCTAAGAGTAGAGTTGCTGGGTCACATGACAACTGTGTTCAAAGTTTTGAGTAACTTCTGAACTCCTTTCCAAAGTGGCTACACAGGGGCCAGGTGTGGTGGCTCACACCTGTAATCCCAACAGTTTGGGATGCTGAGGCGGAAGGATCATTTGAGGCCAGGGGTTCAAGACCAGTGTGGGCAACATAGAGATCCTGTCTCTAAAACAAAACAAAACAAAACAAAACAAAACAAAACAAAACAAAATAAAATAAAATAAAATAAAATAAGCCAGAAGTGGTGGTGCACACCTGTAGTCCAGCTACTTGGGAACCTGAGCTGGGAGGATCACATGAGGTTGGGTGACTGAGATTATAGTGAGCCATGACTGTGCCACTGCACTCCAGCCTGGATGACAGAGTGAGACCCTATGTCAAATAAATAAATAAGTAACACAAGCCAGTATCACTTTTTAAGATTACCAGTAAATATACTTTTAAATAGTTACCAACATAGAGTTTTAACATTATATGCCATTTTAAATGCATACATTTAATAAATTCATATAATATATGAAATATAATTATTCATTAGACAATGAGATCATTTTTTTTTAAATGAAAGCCTAATATCCTCTGGGCAAGGGAATGTAATAAATGGGAAATGGGCACATACGTAAACCTCAATGATGAAAATCATTTTCTTTGAATCTGATCACAATCTCTCTGTAACTACATTGCATAAACTCACCTAGACATAACATCAACTCTAACATAAGACCCTGTGTGGATGTGGATTTGGGGAAGTGGCTTTCCTGCCTTCCCTTCCCCGATCTAAACAGACATTCATGCTAGACCCCAGGGACAAAGTGGGGTGAAGGGAAAGGAAGATGGGGGAGACCGGGACATGGCATTTTCCCCCAAGGCTGCATCTTGATTAAGTATCAGAGAAAATTGAGTCATTTGGAAAAAGTAGACTCCAGATTAAGATGGTAAGTTGCGTTGTTTCTTTTAGGAAAGAAAAAAAAATCAACTTATAAAATATTCTTGAGAAAATTCCGTGTTACTACTTTCAGTTACTTACTCATTTAGAGATAAACAGGGATTAAAGAAGAAAAGGAGGTAAATTCGTGAAAGAAACTACAAACATTTGCCAGGCATGGTGGCTCACGCCCATAATCCCAGCACTTCGGGAGGCCAAGTGGGCAGATCACTTGAAGTCAGGAGTTCAAGACCAGCCTGGCCAATATGGTGAAACCCATCTCTATTTAAAATACAAAAATTAGCCAGACATGGTGATGCTCGCCTGTAGTCCCAGATACTTGGGAGGCTGAGGCAGGAGAATCGCTCGAACCCGGGAAGCAGAGGTTGCAGGGAGCCTGGGCATCGCAGTGAGACTCTGTCTCAAAACAAACAAACAACAAAAAAAGGAAAAAAAAAAAGAAGAAAAGAAAGAAAGAAACTACAAACATTAAGAGGGACATCTCAATCTTGTGAATTATTCAGTTTGCTTTCAGGTCTGATTTCTAAAGGAAAGGACTCCCCTTTTATACTGAGAGTTTAAGTTATCCTCTCAGTTAAATACTACCCACACCCCACTCCCACCTCGTTCCCACAATGATAAAGCTGAGGGTTCTCAATCCTGGGTAGTTTGGAGGCATTTTAAAAACAAACTAACAGGCCGGGCACGGTGGCTCACACCTGTAATCCCAGCACTTTGGGAGGCTGAGGTCAGGAGTTCAAGACCAGCCTGGCCAACGTGGTGAAACCTTGTCTCTCCTAAAAATACAAGAATTAGCCAGGCGTGGTGGTGCGCGCCTGTAGTCTCAGCTACTTGGGAGGCTGAGGCAGGAGAATGGCTTGAACCTGGGAGGTGGAGGTTGCAGTGAGCCGAGACTGTGCCATTATACTCTAGCCTGGAGGACAGAGCGAGACTCTGTCTAAAACAAACAAAGAAACAAAACCTCAGGTCTCTCATGTCAAAAGGAAACCAGAACCCGGGACTGGGAAGGGGTGGTTCAGGAAGCCCACTCCTGGGTCCTCTGGGATACATCTGACACGCCCTTCTGTGTCTGTCTCTAGGCGACTCCGGAGGAAGCAAGAAGGGCGGGAAGAAGAAGGGCTCCTCTTTCCAGACTGTGTCGGCCGTGTTCAGGGTTAGTGTTTTGGCAGCTTCCACATCCGATTGTTTTTCTGCCCAGTGAAACGGCATTTGCTAAATGTGCTTGTTTTGGTTTATGTCCCAGGAAAATCTAAACAAATTGATGACTAACTTAAGGAGCACCCACCCTCACTTTGTACGATGCCTGATTCCCAATGAGACCAAGACTCCTGGTAAGTACCAGCAGATCTTGGCAAGTATTTGAACAGAACAGGCTGCCCCGAGATAAATGCAGAATTCTGTGGGTGTGCTCTTGGAAAGAGGGATGGTCTGTATCACTTCTGAAAGCGGTCTCTGAAATAGGGTTGCCAGATTTAGCAGATAAAAATACCGGATGTACCCAACACAAAGAAATGATCAATGTTTGAGGTGATGGATATCCCAGTTATGCAGATATGATCTTTGCACATTTCACATGCATGGTATCAAAATACCATGTGTACCCCACAAATATGTTCAACTATTATGTGACCACAAAAATGTTAAAAACCGAATGCCGTATTAAATGTTATTAAATTTCAATTTCAGATAAACAATGAAAAATGTCTTAATATAAATGTGACCCATGCACTATTTGGAATATACTTCCTCCAAAAAAGTATTCATCGTTTATCTGAAATTCACATTGAATGGCACATCTGTATCTTATCTGGCACCCCTACTATGAAATCATATTCAAAATATTGTGTGTATGTGTATAGGCACATCAGATCCACAGCTTTCATAAGATGAAGGCTCTGTTGGCCTCCTTTACCCCAAAGTTAAATACCACTACATTAGGTAAATAATCATCTTAGGTATCCCATAATCAAACTAGCATCAGTAACAACTGTTTGAGGCCGTACTTCATGTCAATCACTTTGTTATATGATCCCGAATCCTTGCAACAGCTCTCTGCAAGATACACGTATTGATCTCCAGTTTATAAATGAGAAAACTGAGAATCAGAGACTATGTATAAATGTAGAACCCCGTGCAATAGAGGGCTCCGTTCATCGTCACTTCATCCCGATTTGCAAACATTCTTGGAGTCTAGCTTTTTCAGTGTTATTTGTCACAAAAAGGAAAACCAACTGCCACGTGGAGCTGTGCCTATGGGGTAATGCGCTCACCAGCTGAGCTGTTCTGTGCCCAACACGGGCCTCCCAGTTCAGGATTAAACATCCTGCCTCTGCAACATTACAAGTAAACAGAGGTATAGATTGTCGGGGAAAAAAAAATATATAGTTCACCTATTACCACGTGACCCTAAGCAGAGCATCTGAGCATTTTCTGCCTCAGCTTTCTTGTCTATAAAACAAGGATACAAGTGGCATTTTTATCTATTATTTCCTTCTTCAATAAGCAGCCATAAAGTGGTTACTCACTTCGCAAGTATCAGCTCATTTAACCCACCTTAGAGGGTTGTCGTGAGGGTTCAATGAGTAAGTGCAAGTCAAGCATTTACAACAGGGCTGAGCACATTGTGAACACCCAGCAAACGTTGGATGTTTATCATTATTACTATTATTATCATCATCATCACTCAGAACTAGAAACTGTAACTCCCCAATAGCCAGGTGTGTTATAGTTAGTGAAACTGCATCTTCCATGAAAGTTAGGTTCTAAAGTCTTAAGTCAAAGGTAATAACCAGCTACATCACTGTGATATGCATTATTTGGGGCATCCTGCAGCCTCCTGACCAGTGAGCCAGCTTCTCCAGTGTTGGGAAGAGTGGTTTCTTTGGTTAAGCATCACACAAAATCATTGGCTTTTATGTAGGTCTTGGAAAAAATCCATTTCCGTTACTGTCGGCGTTGAGTACACGCTTGCATAAATCAAGCATGCTTGTGGCCTGACTCCTCTCTCAGCAGATGGCCTGCAAGGTGGCAGGAGATGGCTTTAAACTGTACCTCTGGGAGGAAGGCTTTTGGTAATCCACTGGCTTACATTATTATTATTTTTTTTTTCTTTTGAGACAGAGCCTTGCTCTGTCGCCAGGCTGGAGTGCAGCGGCGCGATCTCGGCTCACTGCAACCTCCGACTCCCTGGTTCAAGGTATTCTCTTGCCTCAGCCTCCCGAGTAGCTGGGACTACAGGCGCCTGCCACCACGCCCAGCTAATTTTTTGTATTTTTAGTAAAGATGGGGTTTCACCATCTTGGCCAGGATGGTCTCGATCTCCTGACCTCGTGATCTGCCCGCCTCAGCCTCCCAAAGTGCTGGGATTACAGGCATGAGCCACTGCGCCCAGCCCTACCTTTTCTTTGGGAAGGTAAAGGTTGCTGAAACGTCTGTCCTTTTCTGTTGTGTTTGCTTCTCCTTAGCTCCGGCACCTACCTCTCTGTTTTCATGTCCATTTCTGGGAATGGCCCAACACTCATACAGAAGCCTGGTGATACCTTAGAAAGCACCTAGTGTGCCTTGTTTATTTTCTAGAAGACTAGAGACTACGGAGATTTCCATGCCTCACCCCAGGGCACCTAGAGCAGGGGCTGGGAGTCACAATCCACGATCAAATCTCAAGTTCCTCCCTACCCACAGGCACATACGGGATTTGCTAGTTGTTCTCCCAAATCCTCCGGAGCTTCACAGGCACAGGTCCTGTGCTCGTCTGCTGAACAGGGAACCCTCAGGAGCAGGCTCCAGCCTCTATTCCTCTCATTCTCCTCGTGCAGCAAACCTGGGGCCTGCTAAGTCTGTGCTGCTGGCTCACCAAAGGCTGGCTCGCTGCTGTTTTTAAATGTAGGTTTTATTATTGTTAAGGGATGGAGAGGCCAACAGACCAGAAGATGGTTACCATTAAAAAGACAGTCATGGCTGGGCATGGTGGCTCACGCCTGTAATCCCAACACTTGGGAAGCCGAAGCCGGGGGGTCAACTTAAGGCCAGAGTTTTAAGACAGCCTAACATGGTGAAACCCCGTCTCGACTAAAAATACAAAAATTAGCCTGGCGTAGTGGCGCATGCCTGCAATCCCAGCTACTTGGGAGGCTGAGGCAGAATTGCTTGTACCCGGGAGGCGGAGGTTGCAGTGAGCCGAGATTGCGCCACTGCACCCCAGCCTCAGTGACAGACGGAGACTCCGTCTCAAAAAAAAAAAAAAAAAGATGCAGTGCTCGAGAGGAGGGGGCCTGCCACAGAGGGCCATGAGGGGAAGCACCAGGGCTAGGTTTGGGGGTGGGGCAGTAAGGAGAAATCACAGGCCAGAGCCTTGAGGGTCGTTCCCATGGGATGGAGTCAGTGAGGAAGCATGAACAGGCCAAGCAGGTTCAGCACTGGCAAGTTTGAATGGTTTCAGCAGACGTCAAAATGTAGGGACTTTCTCAAGTTGGCCGGTACCCGGGGCCCTGAGGTGACCAGGGCAGGGAAATATTGACCCAGAGTGTAAGAGTCCTGTGAGAGCCTGACAAAGGTAGGGGTTGGGGGTTAAGGGCTTTGGATAGTTGGTTTGCATGTGAAAGATGTGCTTGCGGGAATTTGTTTGCTATCTCCTGGAATTAGCTAGCCCCCAGGAAGGGCAGTCTCTCCTGGGCCGGCAAGGCCCCAAGATGCCAGAGCATCATAAGATACAGCATATTTCAAAAGCATGGCGAACACCACTGCCCATGGAGGCAAAGATGGCTGGAGAAAGGAGTGGGATGGAAGTGATACACTTGGAGAAGTAAAGAAGAAAAACCCTTCAGCAATTGAAGCAGAAGAAGGAGAGAATAGCTCAGGGAAATTTTTAGAAGTTTTACACGTTGGTACAAAACCAAAGGAGGCCCTTTACATGGACCTGATAGAAAACAACTCAGGCCAGGTTTGAGGAAAAACAGAGCAAGCCCTAAGAGAACTCAGCTCGGGATTCCGAGTCTGCACAAACTAGAGGGGCCCTGTGAGGGAGGAGAGTCCCGTATCGGCTCTGCTACGGCCTTGCAAAGCCCTTCACCTCTCTGGGCCTCAGTCTCCCCCAGGGCCCTGCCACCCCATAGGATGCCTCTGCAGGAATTAGAAAAGATCTCCCAGTCCAAGTGGGACACGGCCCTTAACAGGATGGACAGCCTGGCAAGCATGGTGGCAGCTCTGGCCTCCCCACCATAAAATGATGGTCCTTTCAGCTTTCTTCTGGCTCTAGAAGCTTCAATTCTCTTGTAATTATGCCTTTTTCTCTCTGCTCCCGGCGCTTAAGAAGAAAGAGGCCTCAGCCACATGGTTAACGCAAGTGTTAATCATGCCTGCTTTCACCATTTTAACCGCTATACTGATCTTTTCTCTCTCTCTCTCTTTTTTTTTTTTTTCAAGACAGGGTCTCACTCTGTCGTTCAGGCTGGAGTGCAATGGTGCAATCTCAGCTCACTGCAACCTCTGCCTGCTAGGTTTAAGCAATCCTCCTGCCTCAGCCTCCCGAGTAGCTGGTATTACAGGGACACACCACACCCCCCAGCTAATTTTTTGTATTTTTAGTAGAGACAGGGTTTCACCATGTTGGCCAGGGTGGTCTCGAACTCCTGACCTCAGGCAATCCACCCACCTCGGCCTCCCAAAGCGCTGGGATTACAGGCGTGAGCCACCGCGCCCGGCCTGTACTCATCTTAACTCAGTTAATCCTCAACCGCCTGACGAAGTAGATACTACAGGTTGCATATCCCTTTATCTGAAATGCTTGGGACCAGGAGTGTTTTACACTTTAAATTTCTGTGGCTATTGGAATATCTTATGAGCCTAATGAGATATCCTGGGATGGGACTAAGTCTAAACACAAAATTCATCTGTTTCATATGGGTCTTATACACATAGCCCTAAGGTAATTGTATAGAATATTAATTTTATACATGAAACAGTTTTGGCTGCAATCTGCCTCATGAGCTCAGTTGTGGAATTCTCCACGGTGGCATCAGGTTGGAGCTCAAAGTTTTCAGGCTTTGAATTTTCTGATTGGGGATGCTCAATCTACATTATTATCCTTATTTCACAAATAGAGAAACTGAGGCAGAGACAGCCCAAGTCCACAAAGCTAGTAAACAGCACAGCTGGGATCTTAACCGCTCAGAATCATCATCTGAGAGCTCATGGGAGTCGAATTAGACCGTTTCTAAGGTTGTCTCCACATCAGCGGTTCTATGAATTTCTTTTTTTAATTATTTTATTTATTTATTTATTTATTTATTTATTTATTTATTTAAGACTGAGTCTTGCTCTGTCACCCATGCTGGAGTGCAGTGGCATGATCTCGGCTCACTGCAACCTCCGCCTCCCGAGTTCAAGCAATTCTCCTGACTCAGCCTCCCGAGTAGCTGAGACTACAGGTGCCTGCCACCACGCCCAGCTAATTTTTGTATTTTTAGTAGAGATGGGGTTTCACCATGTTGGCCAGGCTGGTCTCGAACTCCTGACCTCAGGTGTCTGCCCACCTTGGCCTCACAGTGCTGGGATTACAGAGCTGTTGAGCCGCTGCACCCTGGCTGGTTCTTCTTGAATGTCTGAGACATTTTTCCTCCTTGCTCTTAACCATGGTTTCTCTCAGATATCCACCGCGCTGCATAGGGACTTCTCCAGAAATGATTAAAATGCCCCATTCTGCACTATTACCATAGAGTGGCACCGTTAACAGGAAATGTTTTACATTTAACATGAAAGTTTTAAATGTTATTAATTTATAAGATGTTAATGAATTTAAATGTAAACTAGCCACACGTGGCTGTTCACTCTGTATCCTGAGACAGTGCAGTTCTACCAAAAGCCTGAAAAATCATCTAATTGTATAGTGATGTCTCTCACAGCTACCAGTTTGGAAGCATGTGTGGGCATGTCTGGAAGCCTTCCCTAAGGTTAAGCTCAAGAGCCAAGCTTTTGGCCCCACCCCCCTCCCAGCAACTTAGGGAGTCCAACAAAGAGAAGCCATCAAGGTTGCCCCAGTGCCCCTCTCTTCTACCCCTTCACCACAGCCTCGAGACAGAATTTTCTCCATCCCTATTTTTGATCTGTGCCCTGACCCCCAGGCTGGCTTCCACCGAGCATCCACTGGTTTTCCCAGGGGGGCATGCCCCCTCTGGGCTCCTCGCCTTTCCAGCCAAGCTCCCTTTTCCCCCAATTCCTATGAGCAGGGGCTGGAGTGTCGCAGATGAACCACTGCCCTGCCTTCAACCCGCTCTGGGTCCCTCCCA